CAAATAGTTGATGTCAAATTGGGAAAAATTGGAAGACAAAAGGGTGTAGAGAGAACCAGAAACTGCAAAAATATAAAGTTGTCTTGGACTGGTCCACCCCCTCTTCTTTTATAATCTCTTATGGAGCTATCTCCTAATCTAATTAGGAGATAATATAGATATAAATCATATTGACTCTAATTAGAGATATACCTTATCTTCTTATAAGATTAGGTTCTCCATACCTAGATCCAAGCCTAGATTCGCCCTATAACACATGGCAACTTAAGTTACCATGTGACAGCTTAATTAATCATTTTAATTATGAGCCTTAAGCCCATCAGCTATAAGGCTCACGACCCAAGGGTATTGCATGGACAACTTAGGCCTAATTTGTATGAAGTGGGACCCCACAATGACCTCACATAAGTCCACATGGGTTCGGCCCAGCCTCTCTGAAAAGGTTTGGCAGAATTCACTGCTAAACGCAGTGAACCTCTGAACACATTACTATGGGCTCAATATGGGCCCAACATTTACACTTAAATGGTCGTTGAATTCAGCCATCCTATGAAGACCTAAGGATAATGGACTTAAGTAAGATAAAGCCCATCAGGTAATCATCCCTTAATGGCCTGTTACACTTAAACTCTCAGCCCATAATGATCAAACACTACCCAATAGGGTAGGACCTCTCCCCTAGCTATAAAGTACAGTATCATACTCTCTGCTCGGATGGATCCCGGGAATTAAAACGCTTTTGCAAACATTTTTCATAAAACATTAATATATATCATATAAATGTATTGAAATCCATTGCTGGCAGTTTAGGTTTCCATCAGAGAGAGTGTAAGTCCTATCATTCACTTTGTCTGACAGAGGGGCTAATCCTATCACCATGATCACCCACTCAACTGAATTCTCAAACTGCCCTAACATACCCAGGTTTTGACCCTCAATGGATCTCACTGATTGGCATATCAAAGACTGTCCAATCCAACACGTAATGTAGTACCATAATCAAGTGTAGGGGTTATGTGTAACTTTCCAATTTTTCCCATCAATATTCAAGGTCCAGGGCATAATTAGAAAATGGTCCGAGTTCAGTGTTTCATCTAAACATACACTGCATGTGCTTTGGGTCTAACCATAGCAGATGAGACAAGCTGCCCCAACTTCTTTGGTAGCGCATCAGTGTCAGCCTTGGTAGAATAAACTCCCCAAGTCTATCCAACGGCTGAAAACATTCTAAACTAACATGAGTCTCATAAGTATCCAATTTAAGGAGTAATTTCACAGAAATATACCAATATCAACATGAAACAATAATGTACTTTTATTCATTTACAATAAATGTATTTGTACATCAATCTGATTGGAGCTAAGGGCATACACTGTCTAATAGAATATAAGGGCCATTACCCTTTATTCCACCTTGATAACTTATGAACTAGGTCAGGTTGATAATAGGTTCTTGTTCAGAATTATTTATGCATCCATTTTTTCCTCCTCCCCATTATAAAGCCTTGATCCACTAGAGCCACCTCTCTTCACTATTTTTTGGACCCTCAAAACTTTTTGGATCCATGTCAACTACATGAGTTTCCTTATCTTGCACATGAGCACTAGTTTCAACAATAGTATCTCTTACTTTGTAACTTTGAGGATTTGAGGGAATGCCTAGCCTATGTTTAAGACATTGTTGTCACTGAACTTTTTCAATTCCATAATATCCAAATTTTCTTTTACCTTGTATTTCACATCATCTAATTCACCATTAGTTTCTAATATTGAAGATATCTCCTTCCCACTAAATTGGTTTGAGTTTGAGTTATTGGTAACCCCATCATCATCAATGCTCACAAAACAATTATCATGATCTTTTCCCCAATGTGAGTGACCTTGTCATCACCACTATTGTTCTCTTCACCAATATCCCTACCTTTAAGTTGAATCTGTTTAGTTTGATACACTCCATAATCATTATTAATACTATTGTCATCAGTGTGCTGAATGTGGTTGCCATTTTCTCTAGAATCATTTGGAGCATAAGGACATTATCCTCAACAAGTTCAGCTTGAATTGCGGTAATAGTGGTATTATTATCATCCACTTGTTGTGCCTCCAGTGAATTAATCAATATATTTCTAGCCTCTTGGCACACCAGATTGCAAGAATCCAGAACCATTGAAGAGTATTCAATCCTAGTATCTATATTAACTAAATTTGACTAAAAAATCAGAGCACTTATCAAGTTTGTGTTTTCCATAACCGACTCAATCAAAGGTGTATCCTCAGTTAGTAGCTAGATTTGGATCAATTGTAGATGTACTTACTGATTTTATGTGTTCCTCAATCAAAGGACACTTTCCTTTCCCAATAGAGGATGCACTTGCCTTCCTCATATGAGTACCAAAAGGTTGCCAAATTTGAACTTGCATGTTGGAGGTCACCAGAGTAACTTCCCTCACTGTCATCACTGAAGTACTAATTGACATTGGGTCTGTGGTTATAAGAAAGTTTGACTCTAACTAGGGGTGAGCATTGTTTGGTTAAATCCAAAAAATGAACTGAAATTTTCGGTTTAGGTTTGTTTGGTTCAGTTTTTTTGGTTTTCGGTTTTTTCGGTTTGGTTAATTTGGTTTTAAAAAATTTTGATTTTAGTTTCGGTTTTCAGGATTGGAAATTTTGTTAACCAAAAAAACCGAATTACCCAAAATTTATTATATACATAATATAATATATGTTATATATAATATTAAAATATATAAAATACATTAACATATACATATATTATAATATACATAAATATATTAATATATATAATATATAATATGTACTAGTATAATATTAATAAAATTCAGTTTTAACCGGAAATCGAATTAAAAAATTCAGTTTCGGTTTGGTTTTATATTTTATAAGTTCAGTTTTTAAAATTTTGGTTTATTTGGTTTGGTTTTTAACCAAATAAACCAAATGCTCACCTCTAACTCTAACCTCTTCACTTTATTGTGCTTGCATTACATTCATGGTGACCAACCTTGAGCAGTATGCAAACAATTGCTCATATTCTACATGTTGCCAAAAACCACCATGGCTGAAACCAATCTAGAGTGAAGAATGATTTTACTTGGTGAGGTTGATTCCAACACATACTCAAGCATAGAACTGTCAATGATACCTGTAAATCCCTGGCCCGATCCAATATCTGATCTGATAAAAATCCAAGTCCTACATATATATTAATATAAATATACTTTATATATTTATATAATATATATTATATATTTTTTATACATTAATGTAATAAATAAAATCTCTTATGCTATGTTTGGTTGCAATGCAAATAAATTTGCATTGATGCAAAATAATGGAAGTGCAAATAATTTGAATGTAAATTTTGACCTATTTTTGTTTCGAATTTTAGCTTATTTTGTTTGATTGCAATATAAATGAAGTAAATAAGATATGATGCAAAGTATATTAAAACCCAAAGCCGAATTATTTTTTTCATTTGTACTCCCATGCATTCGTACTAGTGCAAATAAAATTGCACTGCAACCAAACACAGCCTTAGGGGTAAATGAGGAAATCTATTCCTCGCCAGCCTTAAACCCTAAGGCTGTGTTTGGTTGCAGTGCAATTTTATTTGAGGATGATACCTAGTTGATCAATTGAGGATGATAAAATGAAAAAAAAAGTAAAATAAAAAGAGACCATACCTTAGTACCTTACCTGGTTGATTGTTTTGACATGGAAAAGAAACTATCTTGGTTTAAAGAACAAAATGAAGCATGAAAAAGAAACCAAAAAACACTTTACTAGGTTGATCCATTTGAGGATGAATAAAAAAGAAAAAAAAATAGAGGATAGCTTACCTAGTTAATCAGATGGCTTGCAGTTCTGTTGTTGGTTGGAGAAGATGATGGAGATGAAAGTGACGAAGAGCCAAACCCTGTGTTTTTGGTCAATCAAAGGGCATAAGTGGCACTTTGAAATCTAACCGGAGATAATTTTGGAATAAAATTTTAAATAAGTGCATATTGTATAGGCACTTAAAAAAATTGGAATTTTGGAGTTCTTCAATAAGTACTTATTTTGAGCTTATTTCCCAAAGACCAATAAGTGTTTATTGGTGTGATCCTGACCCAAAATAATTGTTTATTTGAATAAACACTTATTTTTAAGCACTTCCACCCAAAATAATCTTAAAACCCTCATTCAACTAGATTTTAAGGTAATACCCTTCATCCCCAATGATGCTTAGAATTTAATGATGCCACCCAGATCTCATTCTTAAGGTTGAATGATCTAACCATAGTATTTGATTGCTGGAAGAGAAGGATGACCATACATGCAGTTCTTGATCGAAGAGAACTTTAAAATTTCACAAGACTGCTGTAGGACATCTTTCGGAAAGATTATTGGCTCCCCCTATTGGAGCAAAGCTGGAAAGATGGGCACATCAAGAGAAGAAGTGGAGTAGAGATAAGAGAGAGCTTAGAGATGAATGACAGATGCAAAAGGTTTCCACTTTCCCTGCTTGAGGAAGAGAAGACGCCATATGAGTTAGTCATGCCATTCTACTTGTTATGTTTATTCAGATAATCTATTTACCTTCATAAAACTAGTGGAAATATTTAGCTGGTTGACTTCTTGGTACTTTGATCCTTTTGAATAGAAATTACCACAAAGCATGTATTCGCTGATTGCTGAAGCAGTGGGGAAACAAAACTCACTACAACTTACATAAACCATAATATGTATAGCCTTGCTCTAGCTCCTGCCATGAAAGTTCAATCCATCTCTATCTCTTCAAATGTGTTATATATATCTATATATATATATATATATTATTAATGTAGTATCAGAGATGTTTCAATAGTTCTCTAGGGCAAAACACGATTGTTTTTTGTAAGTGTCACAAGTAGACAAAGAATGGCCATAATTTCTGAATTCTCAAAACTTAATATGTCTTAGAAGAACAACTAAGTTTTATTTCCAAGACAATTCTATTGCAGTGTTGTTCTGGCAGTCAGTCATGGGATGCTAGTTTTGTGGCTCAAGCTATAATGGCAAGTAATCTTTCTTTTGATGAAATTGGGCTTTGTCTTAAGAAAGGACATGACTTCATTAAAAATTCACAGGTTTAACTCTACTCTCTAAATTTATTTCCTAATTACAAGTATTTCTCTACATTCCTTCAGTCTAAATTTTTTATCTCACTTTTAATTAAGGTTCGAGACAACCCATCTGGCGACTTTAAAAGAATGTATCGTCACATCTCAAAAGGATCATGGACGTTTTCAAATCAAGATCATGGGTGGCAGGTCTCAGATTGCACAGGAGAAGGCCTAAAGGTAATTGGATGAAGACCATCATTATGTTCCAAATGTAAACAAACAATTTAGCTACTATAAAGATTTGTAATAATTATCCTCTCTTGTTTTATAGGCTTGCCTCATGCTTTCACTAATGCCACCAGAAATTGTTGGTGAGAAATTGGAAGAAGAGAGAATATTTGATGCTGTGAATATTCTCCTTTCCCTACAAGTAAGGAGGTGTTCTTTTTTTTTTGGATTTTGAGAGGGGGGAAAGTTGGTTAATGGGATTTTGGTTTCCATTGACCAAAAATCCTATGTTCATTTTTCAGATTTATGTGGGGACTAGGGAAAGTTTATTTTCATAGTTATCACTTACTTGGATAAGTGATATCCCTCTCCTAGGTGGGTAAATAACTTTTCCACCTAGGGGGAAAGTTGGTAACACTTGAATGGGACAAAAATACCCCTTTTAATAATGGATTTTTAAAGCTTAAATAGCCATTACCTTATTTAGCCAGGACATAAAAGAACATGGGTAAATGCACTTACCTGGGAAAGTGTTTCTCACGAAAAACTTATCCAGGTAATTGCATTTACCTGGGTAAGTAACTTAATGAAAAGAGAACGGGGCCTAAGAACCAAATTATCATAATCTACTTTAATTTATAGTAGTTAACCTATATAGACCATTGGATGAAGTTAATTTGCACCATGCTTTCTCTTATATACATTTTGAAAGAAAAACTGGTAGGTGCTACAAATGAAACATCTTTTTACAATTATTTTGAAGTAATCTCTTTTACAATAAATATCTTGAAATTTTTAAGAATGAAATAAATTATAACAAGTAAATTCCCATATTTTCGTTGCTAGAATGGAATGTAGCACTAATTTTGAAAAACATTTTGATTGTAGAGTGAGAATGGTGGCTTACCATGTTGGGAACCAGCGAAATCAAAAAAATGGTGGGAGGTAAGCTTTTTTGGATATTAACTTCTGTTATGCAAGATAATTGAAAGAACATAGTTCCATAAGATGACAACTAAATTTCTCTTTTTCATTATTATAGATTATTTGATAGTTATAAATTATAATAATTATACAAATAAAAATTATAGAATAAATAATTATAATAGTTTTATTAACCTTTCCCCTAAGTAGCAAACCTAATTGAGCCTTATCAAATGTTGCATGATTAACTTCCCCTCAATGTATTAGAAATTGAATTAGTTAGGTTACATGCATGAATTTCCTCCAAAAGATTACATGAACCTATCCTTTGTCATTCCTACACATATAAGGCATTGAATTGTCATAGATGGGAGTAGACAACTTGTCTAATGATACTCCATGTCACAAAGCAAGAAGGATACCTGTCAATTCAATGTTAATAAAAACCATTTCACTATATTCAACCTCAACACTAGAGCATGCTACTATAGGCTCCTTTGTGACTACCATGAAACATTATTAGAGCTATGAAATATACAACCACCAATGGTGGACCTATGAATATGTTGGCAACCTATCCAATGATTATTAGATAAATCATATAGGTCAATAACACTATTGAATATGAGATGAATCCGATAATCTATAGTTTCTTTAATATAGTCTAGAATATGCCTAACAATGTTAAGAGTGATGGATTGTAGGATCATTCATATATTGTAATATTCTAGATTAATAGAAGAAGGCAAATCAAGATGTGTCATGGCTAAGTCAACTACAACACTCCTGAATTCCAATGGATAAAAAAAGGGAGTCAATTGATCCGACATTGTAAAGATTACTTTGCATTCAACAATTTAAGCTCTATTAAGAAGACTTATATCATATTTGGCTTGAGATAAGAACATGCCATCGTTGGACTTTTCCACTTCAATTCCAAGGAAGTGGTGAAGAGGTTTCAAGTCTTCCATTGCAAATTCAGCACTTATAGTGTCAATGATGTTATGCAAGAATGTAGATTTGTTGTTGGTAAGGATTATTTCATAGTTAGAGTAAAAGTATGATTGTACTTCTATGGTGATGAAGAATAAAAAGAGGTGAGTCATGAATACTAATCAAACCAAGCCTATTACACATGCTTCAAACCATAGGCCCATTGTAGTTTACAAACATAATCAGGATTGGAGGAATCATGAAATTGAAGTGGCTACCCCATGAACACGACTTCTCTGAAATATCCATACAAAAAGAAATTTTTGATATCCCACTATTTGATTTCCCATTGAAACATCAAGGCATTGGACAACATTAATTGAATAGTCCATTGTTTTACCATTGTAGTGGTGGTTTCTTCAAAGTAGACATGTTCATGGGTCCTGCTTCATGATCAGCCCATAAATATTTTATAACAGTTAGGGCTCATTCTTTAGAATGGACCTATTCAAATTTTGGAGAAAGAAAAACTTGAGACTAGCCCATGAATAGGTCTACATCATAGTTCAATCCTTGAATTTGTTTAACCCCTTTGGTAACCAATCTTGGCCTTTAGATGCTCAAGGGTTCTATTGTCAATGTTCTTAATCTTGAAAGGCCATTTACAAATAGTAATGTTCAATTAGAAGTTCTTAGAACTAGAGTCCAAGCCTTGTTGGTTGTTAATGTCTCTAGTTCTTCTAGCATGGTTAGAAACCATCCAAGGTGTTTCAAAGTAGATTTAAACATTTTAGGTTAGGTACATCCATTCTATCAACAATAAGACCCAAAAATTCTTATTGTCTAAGTTAATGGAATATGTAGTTTCACATGAAGAAAGGGAGATATATACATGTGGGATCTAGGATCCACTGAGCAGGATCATGAGAATCACCAGCTAATTGTTTATATAAAATTAGGCAAAATAGGGAAAATATGGAAAGTAGGGTAGAGATAATTTAGAAAAAGATTTTACTTAAAAACAAGTATATTAGGCCCAAAACCATCTATTAATTGACTCCATATCTAGTCTTTAACTAAACTAGGTAATGGATTAAGTTACAAGTGTGTAAATGGTTAGGCACCACACTCACATGAAATCATAACTCTAGTTTTACTTGATTCCTTCATTCCCTAGAGTATGAAAGATCATTACTTTTTGCCTATTTTATCATAAAATTAAGGGATTTTTAAATTTGGTCATCCCAACCCATCCTTTAAAGAGGATTTAAGGGGAAGAATGGTTTTCTCATAGGTTCCCATGCACTAATTTACCTAATTATATAAATGTCCAGATGCAAGTCTACATGATAGTTAAAGTATGGCACAATAAAGATAATCTCAATTTTATTCTTGAACATTCCAACAAATGGATAATGTTTGAGCATATTAGAATAACCATCAAAATAGAGGAATAATATGGTGTATGAACATGTGAGACAATTTAAGTAATGTAACTAGCAAAGCATTCATTATATCACATCTAAAACTATGCAATTTTAGTATAACAAAGTGCCTAAGATATGGCTTATTAATTTCACAAAAAAATGGCTTATTCAAGATGAGAAATCATGAGATATTATGCAAAAATGTGCAAAGCAATTGTATTAAAATTTATTATAACTACCTCAAGGTTGGAACTAAAGTGTCTATTGAAGAGAGAAAACCCAACTATAAGTTGATAACATCAACAATCTATTGCAACAAAACTAGCAAGAAGGCACATATTAAGTTGATTCCATGACCTCTATATTCCTCCTCTAGATGTGAAATTTTGATAGGACAAACTTCATACTCCAATATTTATGTAAGAAAAAGAATCAACCAAAATGAACATGGAGAGAGATATTTGATTTGCAATTTGGATACTCAAGTTGTTTTGCTACTAACAAAATGATGAAGTGGCTAATTTCCTATTTATTTCATATTCTCTACATACCTCCCTAATCTAGTCTTTATTTAGGAACAATAATCAACCGCAAGTGTCATTAATGGGGGAGAAATAGAAGTTACAACATAGTTACTCAAATTTTTTGTTATTGTAACATTGGTGATGTAGCCTACTTTCGTATGAAAATTGGATGGATGATTCTTCATACTCCTAAGTCATTAAGGAAAGTGATATCACCCCCATTGGACTTCCCAATTCAAAATAATTGCTCAACCAACCTCAAATTCACAAGTAGTTATCCCGTTGCTCTAAGGATACTTTATGTGCCTCAAAAGCCTTCACCCATTTCTACACTAGATACCTAAGAAATGTGAACTTGATTTGGTCAATATTCATAAAGAATTTTAAACAAAAGAGGCATCTCAAGCAAGATTTCTATGTTTTATCCTTTTAGATTTAAATTAAATCTTGTTTAATTCAATTTGGAAGGTTTTAGATAGCTCTTATTTTGGGAGTTGGCTACAACATTTAAAACAAATTTTCCATGAAAAGGAATAAAGGTGGATTAAGTTGAAATTATTACACATACATCAATTAAGATGCAACTTTTAGGTTGGAGCTACTACATTGAGGAACTATTGTGTGGCACATTAAATTAAAGAAAATTCAAAGATGTTGGGAGGTTTATGAAATTGATCTATAAAACTAGAAGTAATAATTGTTAAGCCAATCATCTTGACATATTATATGTCGAAAAAGGACACCCATATAAAACATTATGGCCGTTTGAATTGTTAGCACTCATTCGAGTCCCTTTGGCCCTTTTCACCTATTCCCAAAATTTGCATGTTTTTTGCTACCATAACACCAAATTAGAGGTTAACCTTAGGTGAATACAAGCTTGGATTGGTTTCTGAAGGTTTCAATATAAAATTTATCATCTGAAGTCCAAATAAGAACCATATATACAAGAATTATGCAAATTATGTGCAAATGCATGACTTATGCAATATGTTTTACAAGAATTTTGTGTGTAATACATGAAAAATATGAAAAATGTGAAATTGTGAAAATACTTTAAGAATATGTAAACTACATGTAAAATGTACAAGTCATGCTAAATCATGTGAATTGTGTATCAAATATAAAAATTGCATGTAATGTGCAATGTACATAAAAATTAAGCAAGGAATGTGTAAATCATGTCCCAATTATGCAAACAACATGAAAAATGTGCAAACTATGAAAATACTTTCTCCAATAGTGAAATGATTGAAATAACCCTAAGAGGCAATGCTTACAAGGATCAAAAGTATGATCAAAATGGGGTGTTTAAAGTCTTTTACTTTTTTAGCAATGGAGTTGACATCATGGGTTGCTTGAGAGGTTTCAGATGCATGATTATCACTAGTAGAACCAACTTTTTCATTTAATTATGAGGATGTAAAGTTCAAAGATAGTAACTTGTGCTCTCCTTAACCATAAACATAATCTAGAGTTAGTAACAATTATTACTAAACAATTGATTACTTTTATGGTTGCAACCAATAAGTCTAATGAAAAGGGATTTATTTAGAAGTACAAGTCAAATCTTCATCATGAAACACATACAACTCAAGACTGACCTAATTACAAGTCATGAGATATAAACACAACCTATAGGAGGATACATGCAATCATATCCCTTCTAGAACACACAAAATGATCTTGGTAAAAATTTTCTCTTTGCATAATCTCTTAGATATGAATAACACTTGTATCTTAAAACTTTGAGATATGAGTAATTTGAATTTTGTCTTGTAAGGAGAGCATAAGGATTTTTCCAATTGAGATGATGACAATTGGTGGATTAAAAAAACCATTAAAGAGAAAACATAAAACAAAGCTTAGTAGGCACTTTATTATAGAATATCATTGAAAAGAGAAGTTCAACAATGTTTTTATGCTTTCTTTCAACCAAATCATTTTGATCATGGGTTCCAAGGCATGACACCTGCTTGAGTTCAAACTCCTTTCTTTAACACTTTCTTTCAATCATTCTCATTCAACACATTCTTTACTTCAAGGAGTTCAAACTCCTTTCCTCTATCACATTGAAAAAAAATATTTTATTGACTATTATATTAAGTCATCATCATCTTATAAATTTTTTGAATATAGAAAAGTATTATGACTTAGGGTATACCAATGTGAATCAAGAATAGTCATCTAGAAAACTAACATAGTATGTACTTATATCCTTGAGAAAAGGTCACAAGGTCTAGGCTCCAAAAATCACAATGGATTTTTGGGAATAAACTAGTAGTTCAAGTACTACTATTAATAAAAGGTAATCGACAACTTTTACCCAATTGAGAACTTTGACAAACTAAAAAATTTTTATTCCAACTAGTAATAGAAATAAGATCATTTGAAGTCAAATATTTGACTATTCTATCATTAAAATCCTTTTTTAGCTATAAATTAATATTTTATATATGAGATTTCTTGCTCATTTGAGGAAACTTATAAAATAACACAATTAACATACACTTTATAGAGAACATTTTTGTTCTTAATATGCACTACTTGAAATTCTGTTTTTTTTTTTCATTACAGCTATTCAATCCTACAGAGATTTTCTCAAATGTGACCATCGAGAATGAGTATGTTTTTCCTCTTAATCTTTTTATCTTTCGTATCTAGTATCCTTTATCTTCTAAGCTATACATATATAATTGCTTAAGACTAACAAATTTGTTGTTCTAGGTATGTTGAGTGCACAGCAACAACAATCCAATCAATAGTATTATTCATGAAGTTATATCCTAACCATAGAAAAGAAGAAATAGAAAGTTTTATCTCAAAAGCAACACATTATATTGAACAAAAGCAAATGCCTAACGGTTCATGGTATACCAACTCTTTTTCTATGATTATTAGAAATGATTAAATGAGATACATTATAAAAAGATCAAGATATTATTTTAGATTGATCACCTAACAATAAGATACATAACAGGTATGGAAATTGGGGAATTTGTTTTATCTATGGTACATGGTTTGCTCTTAGAGGACTAGCAGCAGTAGGGAAGGGATATGATGATTGTGTAGCTGTTCGTAAAGGTGTTGATTTTTTATTATCAATACAAAAAGAAACTGGTGGCTGGGGAGAGAGTTATCTTTCATGCCCAAATGAGGTATTTTCATAAAACTATCTTAATGTTTTTATTTTTGTTTTAAGATTATGCATTTCAATATTGCCTCTTTTTTGATGAGATAATAGTTGCAAAGAAATAAAAAGAGTAAACACTTATATAACTTGTCTATTGCACCAAAGCGCAATTATATGGGTTTGCAGAAATGATACAAGATAGTGAGGAATAATGTAAGAAAATTAAATACATAACAACATATTGTTAATGTTTTACGATAAATTGTTTGCAATTATAGGCAAAGGTGAACACAAAATCCACTATTAATATTAAGAAATAGGGTAAATTTCTTAAACTACCCTTATGGTTTAGTTAATTGACTAAGTGTACCCTTACTGTTTGAAAATTGACTAATGTTATCCTCATTGTTTTTTGACAATTGTCTAATTCTACCTTTACCGTTAACATCTGTTAGTATTCCGTCAAAACCTACGTACACTTAAGACCATGTGACGTTTAAAATTCTTTTAAAACCCAATATTACCCCTCCCTTGGACTAGCAACCCCTTTCTCCTCAGAACTCCGGTCTCTTCTCTCTTACCTCTGCAACTACAAGTACTGCAGGGGAGGCAGCTCTGGCTTTGCAAGTGCTGTAGGGGGAGCATCTCTGGCTCCATCAACTACAAGTGCTCCAATTTCTACTACCCACTTGAAGCTGAAGGAGTGTATAAATAAATACCCAACCCCCATTGTTAAGACAATGTTGCGTCTAGCTCCTTTCGTCCTTTTTTCTCCCTCTACTGGTTGCCATGGAAGTAGAATGTAAAAAAACATTTTCGCTCTGATTATAAATTTTTGCAACGTTCATGATCAGTTGAGAGAGAAAAAAATAGGCTAAATTTTTTAGCTCTAACTATTCAATGCTTCTGGGGCCTTCTTCCAAGCACCACAAACAAGCAAAATCATCGAAAGAGATTGGAAGCTCCGCCAGTTTTGCATGGCATCCAGACCCTGCAAGACAACTTTCTTCGGTCTAGTTATCGTAGGAGATTCTAAAACTCTTTAAATCAACCGATGGGAGTCATTAGCGGATAGCTTCCCACCTATTTTGCCAAGTCGTCGATGCTTATTTACCACACACAAAGATGCGAATTATCTATAGGCTTCAGATCAGAAACAAGTTATCCGAGAATTGCCAGATGGATTCTGAGAATTTTTATCCAGAGAATTGCTAGATGTGTTTGGCATAGTTATCTGATTCTTGTTTCCCAAAAACAAAATCATGTTTGGTAATAAGGTCATGAATTGATGGTCAAATCTTGAGATGATAAGAGTGAAAAAACAGGTCCAAGTTAGATAGCATAAACTCCATTCCAAAACATCAAAGGTTAGGTTCATATCCAACCCCACCCCTCCCAACATTTAACCAAAATCAGGATGTCAGACATGATGCACTGTTGTAATACATGAATGAAAGAATCGTGGGGAATGGATTGACACACCATTGAAGAAAAGGTTACTAGAAGGAACTCCCACTAAAAAAGCAAACCTACCAACAAAGTAATACTTCTTTTTTTGGATAACTATTCAAAAATTTTATTATTATAGAAAAAAGTAGATTACAAAGTTATAAAGGTGATTAGCCTAAGTTGAGCCCTATTATTACATTTATATCACCCCATTAAGTTGTAATGCCCTTGTACATATGATCTCTTAGGGTCCCTTGCTTTGTTAGGCCATTTTATAAAACATTTTGCAAACCGAAGTATCAACTTCATAGTTGTTCTCAGCTCCCTCTTAGTTCCTTGTTAGAAATTATGGAAAGTCAGGATATTAGCACCACCATTTTAAGAATCAACTTGTCCAAGTAACAACCAACATGTTATATAGAATCTGTAGAAGTACATCACATTCTAGAGTCTAAACTAATGTACAAAGGCCACTTTTAGCATGCTCGTCCTCCAGTAATGACAACCTTACGTCCTTTGATATAGTTATTGCTACTTGAAAATTGCACTAGGGAGGTACTAATGCATCTTGAAAAGTTATACCATAATTCAAATCTTACACTTCCTTTGAGATTAAAGGCTAGTCTTCTAGAATGTTTTGATAGCAAGCAGTGTAGTTTGCTTTCAACTTGATACGAGGAGAAAACAAATCAATACAATATATATTAACAAAAAAAAAACAATATTTTACTTGGATGTCTTAAGATAGGTTCTGAGTAAATAACCAGAACAATAAATTTTGTAGATGCTTAAAAAATTTTGGGAACAAACACAGAGAAAAAGAGAATAAAAAGTGAAGAAAATGGTAAGTTTTTTGGGGTTGTATTTGATTGAAAGGGAAAAAAAGAAGGGATGAGAATTTTATCTAAGATCTTATGAGTTGCAAAGAGCCATTGGTGAGCGGAGAACCATTGGAAGTAGGAGAAGAAGGTGACTGAGAGTTAGGGATTTTGGCCAGCATTTATTGTCTTGCAAAATTACTTACTTCCCATGTTCGCACGTGCAACATGGGTACTTGTGTTCACTTTTTAATAAAAGACTGTGAGAAATGAAAAGATGAAAATCAATCATCTTTATAAACAAAAAATGGGATTTGGAAAATCAGCCTTCCAGATGAGAGTTTTCATCTAGAATTGGAGCCATTCTAAAGAGCTAACAACCCGAAACGCCATTCTATTCCAAAGAAACATGAGAATCGCCAGAAGTGATGCCAAACAGAGCCTTAATTGCCTAAAGGTAAGACCATCGCATGTTGGTGTGTCCGAAAGCGTGTCATTAAACATTCCGGAACACCAGTTTTAATATTTATAATTTTATTCCGATTCTCAAACAATTACTAACGTAGTATATAGGTGAGAACGGGTCGTATCCACAGGGAAGCGAGGGAAAAATAATCATGTACTTAGATCCGGGAGAAGAGAACGCAAGTGGGAGTTGCGGAAATAAAAAAAATAATTAATTGAAAAATTAGAATTCATTAAAACAAAATTCGAATAGTACTAAGAATAACAAGTGCATAAAATTAAATAAAGAACATAAACAACTAAATAAAAGAAACAAAATAAAAATGTTTGAGAATCCGATCAGAGGTAGCAGTTTTCGGATCTCTCCTTCCACCCTCGAACTTCTCGAGTTACGCCTTCCGTTTTACCTGGCCAAATTTAAGATTTGCAGAAAAGAAATAAAACACAAATTAAATCTAATAAAAATAAATTTGTAGGAAGGAAAAATTAAACTGGAAATTAAAGAACAGAAAGTAATTCTAAAACTGAAGAAAATATGGTTGGGATTCACATCCAAAGATGGCAATAGTAGTGTTGGCGAACTGCAAGTAAGAACCCCTCCTCTTGCTTGGGCGTCCTCCTCTTCCTCTACCCTTGAACTTCTCAAGATCAACATTCCTTCTTACTTGGGTGAATTGACCAACCCCTTTTACGGGGCCCTTGGGACCCTTTTTATAAAGAAGGGTGGACACAACTAGAAATAGGGAGAAAGATAGAGGGCGGCAGCTAGGATTTAGCAAAGTTAGGGATGCCCTAGGGTTTCTAATGGATGGATAAGATGGTTTTGGTGTGATCTTATGGCTAAAAATAAAATGAGAGGGCACCCAATATTATGTAGGGCTGAGATTTGGACACCTAGAAATGGAGGGTGTAGATTAGAACATCTAGGGTTGAAGGGTTAAGATTAAAAGAATAGGTGGTGCCCTAGATTGAATGGTTGGGATATAAGATGGAGGGAGTGGCTTAGATTTGGAGGTGATGGGTTGAATGGTGAGGATTAGCAGAATAGGTGGCGCCCTAGGGTTTAAAAGCTTTAAAGGAGAGCCTTAAAATGAGTGGTTGAGATTAAAAGAGCTAGAGGGTGGAGATTAAACACCTAGTGGTGGCTAGGGTTTGCTAAGAGTGAAAAGATTAGGTTAAAAAGGTTCCCTAGGTTTTGCTAAGGAGATGGGAGCATGGTAATACAATAGGATGGGCGCCAACTGGGTTTAGCAGATAGGAGGCACCCTCCTATTCTCAGTTCTGTACAAAAACACCCCCTCTCTCAGCTGGTCTTCACACCAGCTTCCCAAAAACTGCACAGAGACACTCAGATGTCACATAATTGATTTTAATTGAGAAAATGATACACTTTGACTAATCTAAGGCCGATAATACCCCTGAATTGATGCCCTTAAGGCATCAAAATGCAGGGTTATCACATGTCATCATGCAACAGATGTGATGTTGAAGTAGGAAGGGTACTAGTAATTACCTTCAAATCCAAACAACATGTAAATTCCCCATGAGGAGTCTTCACCCAAATCACAGAATCCTACAATTCATTTCTTGGGTGTGGCAGAGAAATAGAATATAATTGAGTAGAATCAAACTTGGAAAATAACTATTGAAAAAGAGTGAGGTGCAAAGTCATATCAATGGAATTGATTAGATGGGCTAAATGGAAAGAGTTTTGCATAAAATCGTTCATATCAGCAAGGGGAAAATTTAGAGCACACCAAGGGTCATGTAATAAGCATGGTTTTCAAAACCAGACTAGATAAGATAGTTAGACTAAAAAACATGGGAACCGGTTAGGTAACCAGTTTTGTTTCACCCTAAAACCACTTTTTTGGCCAAAAGCCATTGATTTGGTCAGTGATCCATTGACCTGGGCAGTTGCACCTTTGAATTGTCAACTCAGACAACGGTTTTGGCCATTTTTATTTTTTAATTTTTTAAGTCAAAAAGGGTTCGTCCATTCGAACCGGACGATCAAACCGTTCAGCCTAGGAACTAGTCCCCGTAATAGTTCCATGTCTAGTATGGTTTTAAAAACCTTAGTAATAAGTAAATAGACCACCTATTTCTTATCAACTAAAGAGCACCCTAATGTACCACCTCTCTTGCTTGCAACAATCGAGACCAAATAGATGAAATACCGTAAGATGCTTAATATTACCAAAAATTGGAATTACTATTTTTATGATCAAGCACCTTTTCCCATAGGGAATATTTATTCTTCAAAAAGCACCAACAAACTTTTGATAAAAAAGCAATGTTTCTATGTTCTACTACCCACAAGCCTAGATCACCTTCAGCCCTTGGTTTCAACATAGATTGCAAATTAAGTACAAGATGCATGATATTGCATATGGTAAACTGGTAGAGCCTCAAATGTAGATTTTATGAGTATTGTATGGCCTACTTAAGATAAGAGATATACTTTCCACATAGCCAGTTTTCTTCTCATTCATTCCAAAAGAAACCATCACTCTTGACACTTAGGTCATCCCATAGAAATAGCTATTCCCAAATAGCATTTAGAATGTGACATGGGGCTCACATCTAAAGACAAGATAATGAATTATGAGTGTCTCTTTTGCCTATTCATGGAGTGAACAACTTCTTGTGTTGGAAGGGTTAGAGTTCAGATTAGACGTGGCTGAAGCAGATCTAGTGGTTGGGTGAATTTTAAAAGTTTTATAACCCATTGTAGAAACCGTTTTCCGGATGATTTTAAAACCTGAAATTTTGGAATCAAATTTGCACTAACTGGATCAGATTTGAAATCCAAATTAATTTCAAATTATACCTGAAGATGTCGCAATAGTGAAGTGAAACTGATTCAACAACATAGTTTCTGCACTTTAAACCTCCAATCTTATTGGGATTAATGCAGCAGTGAGATCCTTCATAGGACTAATGTTTGTCCAAAAAACACATTTAGGAACTGAAAGAAGCGTCCCTACTAGGGTGGAAAGAACTAGGATTTTATTAGAGCAAGGGAGGTGAGAAAGAGAGAGAGAGAGAGACAAATTTCGGAAAGAATGGTTTGCCCATCCCTCTCTTCCCTTATATAGAGTACTCTCCTAGTCCTAGTAGGAGTTGAATTCAAATCAAATTTAGATTAGGGTTTATCCTTATGGATAAAATCCATGACCCAAAATTTCCCCAAGTCACATGACAATGTTGCCATCTGCTTACTTAATTAATCATATTAATAATTGGCCTTAGGCCTATTTTCCTTAATGGCTCACTTTCCTATGCATTATAAGGCCATGTAGCCTAAAACTTATATGGAGTGGAACCTACAAAGGTCTCACACAAGTCCATAATGGTTCTAACCCACCTCTAGATAAGGCTAGGCCAAATTCACTACTCAAGGGCATTGAACCCCAAACCCATTCAACTTGGGTTCAATTGGGCCTAACATTTACATGTAAATGATCAATGGATTCAACCACCCTATGAAGACCTAAGGATAATAGACTTATATAAGATGAAGCCCATCAAATAATCAACCTTGTAATGGTCTCTTACACCTAACATTTCACTCCATAATCTTTAAAATACTATTCATAGAGAAGGACCTCTTCCTTAACTGTAAAAAGTAGTGTCACACTCTTTGCTTAGATGAATCCTAGGATTAAAGCCTTTTAAAATCCTTTTCTATAAAATATTAATATAATATATAAATACATTTTACAAATCAAATTTCAATTATAGTTGAAATCCATTGTCGATGGTTTTAGGTTTCCATTAAAGAGAGTGTAAACTCGAATATTCACTTTGTCTAAGAAAATGGGCGATCCTATCACTATGATTACCCACTCAGGTAATTTTCTAAACTACCCCAACATGCCCAAATGTTTGACCTCTAATAAATCTCACTAGTTGGCATAAATTAAAGATAGTCCAAAACATAGTCAAATATCATAATCAAGTCTGGGGTTAAATGTAACTTTCTAGTTCTACCCATCTTTCTCTAAAGTCCAAAGCATAATTGGAATTTGATCTGGGTCAAATGATTCCTCAAAACACCCATTGTCTGTGCCTAGGGTCTAATCCTAGTAGCTGAGACAAGCTACTCCACCAATTCCGTAATATATCAATGTCAATCTTGTGAGGATAAACTCCCCAAGTTTGTCCAATGACTGAGAACATTCTAAGTTAACATGTGTCTCATAAGTATCAAATTTAAAGATTAATTCACATAAACATACCAAATGTGATCATGAAACAATAATGTACTTATATTATTTATAAATATTTGTATACATCAATCTGATTGGAGCTAAGGACATATGCTGTCTAACATCTTGTGCCAATAGAATATTATCACAAGCTTGTTTTCAAAGTGTGAAAGTATTTTGGCCATTACCTTATATGTAAAAATAAAAAGGACCAATAGGGTGAAATCCTTTGCTTGCTATACTAAACCCGATTTTGGAATGAGATAAATGTGAGTCTAATTAATATTTACTATTTTTCTAATGATAGAAAGCAGGATTGCATAACTGTACTAGTTTTGTACCCACAATATTCCAACAATTTTGATAAATTGCATCTTAGATCCCATCTAGGCCTAGAGTTTAGTGCGTCCAATACTAAATAAAGTACTCACTTCTTCATTTGGAGGTTGGCATAAAAGTTGATTGTCACTGTTAGCAATACAAGATGTCGAAGCATCACAAGATGTCAAATTGAGTAATGGTATAGTGAGTAGTTGTTCAAAATAGTCAATTTGCCAATGTAATTTGCTTTTGTTTGAAGCCATCACATGAAAATTTTTAGTGGTGTGGTCACTGTCTTTTTTCCAAGCAACACATGCTTTATTTCGCCAGTAAATCTTTACTTTATCTAACAATTCTTCTCGGTCAGAGTATAGTTTGTGCTACAATAAGACATTAGCACTCAAGGGTGGTTCATGTAGGGCTACTGCTAGTTCCTTTTCAAGATCTAAAAGTTGTTTATTCAGAGAACCCGTGATGCTTTTCCTTATCTATTTGCTTCTTTAATTGTGTTGGGTCAAACAGGAATACACTCCTCTAAAAGGTGGTAAAACAAATTTAGTTCAAACAGCATGGGCATTGATGGGTCTCATTCATGGTGGACAGGTTAGTTTGAAGTTATAAAGTCAAATACATGGATTATACTGATTGTATACAGGAAAATCTAAAAGAGTAAATGAAGTTTTAGAATTAAGTTGGAGTTCGTTGGCAAATTCTTTCAATAAAATGAGTTTCTTTTATCCAGATACTAAATAATTAGTTTTCAAATATAACCAGGCTGAGAGAGATACAACCCCATTGCATCGTGCAGCAAAGCTATTAATTAATTCACAAATGGAAAATGGGGACTTTCCTCAAGAGGTAAGATATAGCCAATTCTTATATGATATGTGGTTTGGAGCAAAAAAGGACTGAGCAGATGATGTAAAATATGACACAAATTGAAGCTATCTTCCTTTATTATTGCATTTCCTTTCATAATTGTCTCTATTAATTCTTTATTTTTCATGTTCTCTAATATTTTTATTCATTACTACAGGAAATTACAGGAGCCTCTATAAAGACTTGTATGATACACTATGCAACATACAGAAATATATTTCCACTATGGGCACTTGGGGAGTACCGTACACGAGTTTTTAAACCTTCCAAAATCCTCCAAAATTAAGTCACTCATTCTACAATTATCCTTATATAAATAAAGGGGAAGATATATGATACTGAAAAGACATGGTACTTGAACAATTTTGACCAATCAAAGTGCCTCCATCAATTTTGATGAATAGCGCCTGATTGATCATCTCTTTTATGAAATCAGTTGATCAACTGTAGGTTTTTTCTGGTATCATAGTCAAATAAATAAAGTGATGATAATCTTTCCATTTGGCTTTTTATAGTCTTTCTCCAAATTATTGTACTCTATAATGGAGATTTATATTTAATGGATTTTAATGATGCTTGCCGTATAGACCTAGTTAATAAATTATTTCTTCATTACCATATTCTTTTGATTAATAAATCCATGAGCTTTATATTCTTGTTTTTCTGCTAATGCAAATATTTCTATGATCCAAATATTACATTTGAGAGCAAGCCAATGTATGATGATATGTTTGTTCCACTAGGATCTGAGTAATCCAAGAACTACATGAGTTGACGACAGAATTTAGTGCATGAATGCAAAACATATATATTGATTTGATTACTTAATACTATATCGAGATTTGCATAGCATAAGGATCAAGCTATACCTTTTTTTCCAAAATTTTATTAACAATTATTACAGGGGAGAACATATCCTGCCTTGCTCCAAACCCATGAACAAAGAGCTTTCCCTGAAAAGCTCCATCCCAATCCCATAAAAAGAATAAAACAAAAGAATTAGATAAGTTTGATACGAAAACAAAAATTTCCAACTTTGTCCTCCCTTAAGCTTTTCTTAACTGATGATGGCAAACTATCACTAGGTCAAGACATTTAGTTTTGTCTTGTATCACAAGTATAGTTAGCCAAAGTACCTACTATCCCTATTGCATTCTCTGTAAGCATGAAAAACTTTTATTGACAACCATCTTCTAATATGCTCCAGTTCCTCCGAAAGGGAAGGCAGGTACTCAAGGGATCAAAACTTTACCATTCACCAGGTTGACAAGCAATTTTGAACCCAATTCTACCCAAATTCCAATTAGACCTTCTATTGAAGAGCTTTTGCTTCTGCTTTACTATTGGTTATTTCCCCATAGTAGTTAGCAAAAGCCATTAATAAGTCTCCAGTTATTGGCATCGATGATGATTTCTCCTTACCGATTATCTAGAAATCACCCTGTAATCATTGATTTTTTGAAAAATCATCAAAAATTGTTGTTTGGTATCATTTATGTCTTGTAAGCTGATTTTTGAGAACTTAGCTTTGAGTCTGTTTGATACTGAATTTCAAGGGCCAATTATTTTTGCATTAGAGTTATAATTCAATGCCATGTCATGTCATCCTCAAAAAATCGGAATCAATTAAAAATCAAGGAATCACCAGAAAAGGTGATCCCTGAAAGGGGCTGATTTCAATAACCAATTTTGACTGATTTCCCAGAAATCGCCATAATCAGCCAATCAAACATTAAAAATGTCACTTATATGGATCCTATGTGGTGCTGATTTCTAGGAAATCAACATCAATGCCAAACATCACCAGCATCTCTAATGACACCTCCTCCACTATCCACTCCTGATCCACTATGACATGCACCATACATATCAATGTTTATAATTTAAACCCTTGAATTGAAGGCTTCAATCATTAATGACTATCTCACTAACTTCTTGTAACTCGACCGGAGCTTCTTGATGGCCCAAACAATCAAAAATCACTTTATGCCTAACTGTGTTTGGGCTGTCGTCGGGTCTTGACCAAGTACATAGAATCTCTCAAATGGTCAGTTACTTTTCTCACTACATCACCACTTGAAAAACAAAAAAAGCCTACCCTTGTATTGCCTAGTACATATTTCTTTCCAAACTTGCTAGGGAATGAAGGGTAATAGTACAAGCCGACCAACAAAGCCCATTTGGGAAGCAGCAAAAGGCATAGAATCTGACCAGCTAAGAACATGTTGCGCAATCGAAATTGGAACATCTAATAAGTTTGCAAAATTATTCCACACTTACAAGCCGAGGTACCTATAACGAACAGGTGATCGTCTATTCAAGATTGCTATTTGCACAACATGAGCACTTTGAGTAGGAAGGGATAATCTGTTGAATCTTATCATCAATTGGAACTTTGCCCATGTGAAGCCTCCACAAAAAGTGATTTTTTATGGGAATTGCCTTAAGCAATATAGCTTTCGCCTATTCCATTTGATCATGTCTCCTTTGCACTAGGGGTGAGCATGGGTTAGTTCAGTTCGGTCCCATGGAAAAACCTGGAACCTATCCTATGAAGGTCAGTTCCAGGGTCAGTTTTAGCATTGGTGGTTCCAGGGCCATAGAACTTGTTCTTTCTTTACTCCCTCCTTCAAAAAAATAATTAAGTTCTTAAAAAACTTGATTTTTAGTAAATATAATATATAGTTTAAAACTTATATTGTCTTCACATCCCCAAAAGTATTTTGGAATTTATTTCAGGGCAAGCTTGGTTCCAAGGCAGGTTCCAACAAGGCCAATTCCACTTAGGCCAAGCAAGGTCAGTTCAGTTAGGGTAAACTCCTAAACCCTAGAACTGGCCTGGGTTAGGGTTGGTTCGAAGAATTTGGAACCATACCCTACCCTATAACAGATTGGGTAGTATCAGTTCATGGATGGTTTGAGGCCGGTTCCATCTAATTCCAAGTAGAATCTACACATTTGCATAATAACCAAACCTAACTTGACTCAAACACACCACCTTAAATGCTGCAATCTCATCTACATTATTATCTCTATCTTAATCCCTAATACACCCCTTAGGGGTAGTTTGGAGGTAGCAAGTAGAGATATCGTTGATTCAATGATGTGGTGATGTTTCCATTCAACAAATTCGTTCTGCTCATGAGTGTGGAGACAAACCAGTCGATGAGTAATGCCTTGTGAACAGATGCCGATATTTTCCTCTCCAATTAGAATGGAGGGATTTTAGTTTTTGCATCAAACAAAACTTCTATATGCCTCTTAAAATTCAAGAAGATATCAAATACATTTGACTTGCATGCCATAGGGTATAACCAATAAAATTTTGAAAAATCATCCATAAAAATCACATAATAAGAATAATCATTATTTGACTTCATTGGAGAAGGTCCTATACATCAGCAAAAAATTATTTTAATGGACGCATGGACTGAGCATTAGATAATTATAAAGACAACCTATGACTTTTACCCATTTGACATGATTCACAAATTGACTGACTTGTCCTAGACCCATTGAAAAGAAGACCAAACTTAAAAATAACTTGTCGTACTATACATAATGCGGCATGACCCAGACACAGATGACATCCATGGAGAGAGGTACATTCTCTAACAAGAGCTTGTGGTGAATGAGAAATTGTCGCTAATGAAGGAAAACTGTACAGGCCATCTCTACTAACTCCCCGTACTAGTAATTTTCCCAAATAATCATTCACAAAGCAACAATCACTGTGGAATTCAAAAAATAAGTCATTATCCTTAGTGAACTTACTAATAGATAGTAGATTTTTGCAAATAGAAGGGACATGGCAAATCTCATTCAAAATAAAAGAATGTTCATTAAATATCATAGTAGAGGAACCAGTATGTCTGATTCTCAAACCTTGGCCATTCCCAACCTTCACTTTGTCGGACCCTGTATATTCAATCCAATTCTGGAGATTTTCCAACTCTAGAGTCATATGATGTGTTGCCTCTGAATCTAGATACCAGTTGGAGTCAAAGATACTTGCATTGTAGGGACTCTAGAAATAAGTAGTGCCAACTCTACCATGAAACACATAAGTTTCATTGGTGCTATCATTGGAAAATCCAAAAGCATATTTCACCTTTCGACATTGAAGATCACCATGGCCAGGTTTAGTACAGATTTGACAAATTATGTTACCCTTACCTCCACGTCTGCCATGAAATTGTTGATTAGAAAATACTGATGATTAAATTGAGAAACTCCACGTCCTCGCCCTCATCCTCTTGTTTTTATTAAATGAAGAAGCAAATTGTTGGAAGTTCTTCAATTGAGAATTACCTTTGTTCTTAGAGCTTACTCCAGCAAGATTTGCATTGTGAGAACCTGATGGATGAGCTTGTTCCTTGAGCCAACTTTCCTGATTTAGGAGGGAGCCCATAATATATGTGATTCTCAAATTGGCAGCATCAGTATGGTTGGTGAGAGCGGTGACAATGGATTCATACTCACTTCCTTGGCCGACAAGTATATATAGTACCAGTTCAGATTTAAGAATGGGTTCAGCCATAGTTGAGAGACTATCAGCAATAGATTTGGCACGCTGGATGTAGGCTAAAATTGAAAGAGATCCCTTCTTGAGACTTTGTAGTTAACGTCTCACCTGCAAGATTCGAAACTGAGAGTGTGTGCAGTAACTTCGAGCAAGGGTAGTCCAGACTTTGGCTACTATCGATAGACCCAGAACCTGAGTCAATACGCCTTCTGTGAGAGAAGAAATTAATCAACTCAGCACGAGTTGATCTAGTTCCAACCATCTTTCAAATTTGGGATTGATGATGGTTCCTGTACCAGTAGCATCAGTAATGATTTCCGGTGGTGGCTTCTTCTTACCTTCGACGAGATCCATAAGGTGATGGTGTCATAGAATAGGAAGGAATTGAGCACGCCAAAGAAAATAATTGATCTCACCAACCATCTTGATGTTGCCGATCTGGGAATTGCAAACATTATGGGCTCTCTACTTAATCATGAAAGTTGGCTCGAGGAACAAGCTCATCCATCATATTCTCACAATGCAAATCTTGTTGGAGTAAGCTCTAAGAACAAAGGTAATTCTCAACTGAAGAACTCCCAACAATTTGCTTCTTCATTTAATAATAACAATAGAGGACACGAGCGAGGACGTGGAGTTCCTCAATTTAATCATTAGTATTTTCAGCAAAATATGATCTCTAATCAACAATTTCATGGCGGACGTGGAGGTAAGGGTAACATAATTTCTCAAATCTGCCCCTAAACCCAGCCATGGTGCTCTTCAATATCGAAAGGTGAAATATGCTTTTGGATTTTCCAATGATAGCTCCAATGAACCTTCTCCATTTCATGGTGGAGTTGGCACTCCTCAGTTCTAGAATCCCTATAATGCAAGTACCTTTGACCCCAATTGGTATCCAGATTCAGGGGTGACACATTATACGACTCAAGAGTTGGAAAATCTCTAGAATTGGACTGAATATTTCCGACCAAGTGAAGGTCAA